GAAATAAGGGTGTCCAGGGACTCAGGGCATTAATCGTCAAATTAATCGTTATCGGCTAAATACCACAATTAATCGCGATTAATTTTTTTGCCAATATTGCCCAACCCTAGTGAGAGCAGCTGAGAGTTGACCTCTGATTATTTATTTATTTGTTTGTATAACCTGTTTATTCCAGTTGTGTGTTTAAGTCCTCCAGCTGTAGACGGGTCTCAGAACCGGTCCAGCGTGGTTCTGGGCTCCATCAGTTAAATCCCGTCGTCTGGCCCAGGTGTTGCAGTCAACAAAGTTTTTGTGCAACTGTGTAAAGTTTCATGAGGAAGCTCCTGAGCTTTTCCAGCTGTTTGTGTCAGCAGCTGCCTGTCAGATGAGTCATTATTTAGACGGATGTTTTCTGAGCTTTCTGCACCTCTGAGGAGCTTTAATAACCAACATCCATAAACCTGAGAGCTGTTTATTGACAGGAAGGTGATGAAGTCGAAGCGCTTTCTTCCTGCTGTGCTTTCTTCTCTTTGTGTGTCAGAAATAACTCACATCTTCACCAGACGCTCATCAGCGATTCAAGTGAGAAAAACTGGATTTCAGGGTTTTAAAATCAGGACTTGATAAAAATATTCAGGTCTTCAGGGAGATTTTAAAATAAAAAGACAGATTTTTGTGTGGAGCTGCAGCTGTGAGTTAACACAAGGTTCCCGCAGATCTTTAAGTCTTAAAAGGCCTWGAATTCATCAATCCAAAAATAAGACCTTAATTAACCTTAAAACGTMTTAAATCGATCATTAGAAGTGTTAAAATGTGAACACATTGTAATGACTGAAATACTCACATGCAGACATTCCCCTGTGACATCACTTCCTGTTTCTTCACATGCAAATATCTCAACAACTGTTCATCTGAGCAACGTGACATTTGTTTTGTAATATGTTTATAATGTTGTCTTTCCAAAAATGCTTTTGTATTTTTACAAAAATTTGACATCACAGCACTTTAAGGTTTTATCTACAGCAAGCTGGGGTTGAGACCCACTGTGGGTCCTGAAACAACAAGTGTTGGGTCATTAGAGGATTTCCAGGAATTAAGTTAAGTTTAAAACTGATTGAAAGGATGTTTTAGCTACATTTGACAAAAAAAGCAGTTAGATATGGATAAAAACAATTGATCAGTAATATTTGAATAATTCAACCAAAAATACTTTGATTCATGAGTTTYTGCTGTTTTTGTTATTTTGTCATTTGTGTTTGTGAAATTGATCTTAAATTAAATTCACTTGGCATTAAAAAGTCTTAAAGGGATCCATGATTAGTTGTAACATTAGACTTTATTAGATAAACATTTATTTTAACTGTAAAATAAAGACTGTAAAAATACTGTAGGATGTTCAGTTTTGTAAATTTTTAAAAAATATATTTTAACACGGACATGGCCATTTTATTTGCACACAAAGCATTCTGGGTA